CAGGGCGGGGCTGGGAAGGTGGCTCAGTGGTAGAGCACTTGCCTTGCATGCTCGAGGCCCTGGGTTCGATTCCTCAGCACCACATAAGCAAAAAAAAAAAAAAGAAAAGAAGCCGGAAGTGGCGCTGTGGCTCAAGTGGTAGAGCGCTCGCCTTGAGCTGAAGAGCTGAGGGACAGCACCCGGGCCCAGAGTTCAAGCCCCACAACCGGACCCAAAAAAAAAAGAACCTTCAGGGCTGGGAAGGTGGCTCAGTGGTAGAGTGCTCGCCTCTCATGCATGAAGCCCTGGGTTCGACTCCTCTGTGCCACATACACAGAAAAAGCCGGAAGTGGCGCTATGGCCCCAGTGGTTGAACGCTAGCCTTGAGCAAAAGAAGTTCAGGGACAGTGCGTAGGCCCTGAGTTCAAGCCCCTCCCCCCCCCAAAATAAGAGAATTTTCAAGGCGTGGGAAAGTAGCAGGTGCCAGGGTGGAGGAATCTTACTGCAAAGTTGCCCTTTTCCTTGTGATCTACAGAGAGGCCATCAGCAAATCTCCCATCTTTAGGAAAATGTCATAGTTTTCAAATCAAGATTATTCAGTGGATCTGGGCGCTGGTGGCTCACACCCGTCATCTTAGCTACTCAGGAGGCTGGGATCTGAGGATCACGGTTCAAAGCCAGCCCAGGACAGGAAAGTCTGAGAGACTCTGATCTCCAATGAACCACCAGAAAACCGGAAGTGGTGCTGTGGCTCAAGTGGTAGAGTACTTGCTGGCCTTGAGCTGAAGAGCTCAAGGACGACAGCACCCGGGCCCAGAGTTCAAGCTCAGGACCATCAGAGAAAGAGAGAGAGAGAGAGAGAGAAAGAGAGAGAGAGAGAGAAAGAGAGAGAGCGAGCTCCTAGTCATCCACAGCCAACCAGACCCCTGAGAGTCACCATAACAGACAAATGAGGTTCTGGGGGGGGGAGGAAGGGGGCGTGTCCTTGCAAGAGTTCAGCCAATGAGGAGGAGAAGCAGTCTGCTGTCCACAGGATCACCTCCTGGCACCTGCCCCAAAGACAGGCAAAGAGATCCTAGCCACCAGCTCCCGGCTGACCATCGGTACTCCTGCTTCTCCCAGCTCTCCATTGTTACATCCACAAACATCTGGTGTTCCCCAATGGGGCAGAAGGAATGCAAGGGCCAAAGACACACTCAAGAGATGGAATAAAAATAGAGGAGGGAGGGAGAGGCAGGAAGTGAGACGGGAACTAAATGAATGAGCAACCCAGCTGCCAGCTGCTGCCAGGGGGTCACCGCTACACGACTCTTACACAGCTCTTACAGACCCCTGCCTCATTATCTCAGGGAAGGGAAGCGAAGGGTAGGCAGAGATCCGAGGAGCACCAAGCACGGTCCTGCCCCGCCTTTCATACCCCGGACAGCCATTATGTCTCAGGAGGAAGGTGTGTATCTGACAGGCCCATGCTCTTCCATTGATAACCTGCTCTGTACGCCGATCAAGGGCAGCCGGCTTGGGACCCAGCACCGCCACCACCATGAGACCCAGAGAGCCACAGAGATACCCGCAGGACCATCAGAGCCCCCCACCTGCTACCCAGAGATTCATTTGTGCCTCTGGAGCTACAACATCCCACCCCAACTCCACCCCTAGGCCAGGCTATTACTGTCAACCTATAGACCACAGGCCGGGAGGCAGCGTCATCTCTGCCACCAGGCTTAGAGGATTATCCATAGGACTCGGCTTCCTGCCATCTTTGCCCATCTAAGTGGCCTTCTTCTTCACCCCGATCAATGAGAACAACCCCTGGTCAGAATTCAGCTGCCTTTTCCCACTGGCCTAGACAGATGTCCAGGCAAAGGAAAAAAAAGGGAAGGCCATCTCCTGGAAGAGGACTCGAGCCCTTATTGGTTCTAGAAGGGTCTAGAAGGCTTCGCTGAGCCCAGATGACCCAAGTCCCTGGGTATGGAGGCAAAAGACCTCAGAGATCGCGTAAGAAAAGCAAAGGGCTGGGAAGGTGGCTCAGTGGTAGAGCACTTTGCCTCACATGCATGAAGCCCTGGGTTCGATTCCTCAGTATACCATGTACACAGAAAAAAAAGAGCTGGAAGTGGTGCTGTGGCTCAGGTGGTAGAGCGCTCACCTTGAGCGAAAGGAGCTCAGGGACATGCCTGGGCCCTGAGTTCAAGCCCCAGGACTGGCAAAAAAGAAAAAGAAAAAGGAGAGTTCCCTCCACCTCTCCCCCACAAGGCTGCAGACACCCCGGCTCTCCCCAGAACCTGGAGAGGTTCAACTGAGCGTGTGCAAGGTGGGAAACACAGTATCAAGGGCCCATCTCCCCCCACCAGACTCAGGGGTGTCCTCTACCTAATCCAGCCACCCCTAAAAGCTCCATTCGAAACCTAAGGCACACAGCCCACCAAGGGGACAAGTAGAAGGGAACCATTCAAGGAAACTAGACTGGAAGCGACCTGATCGAATCTCACCCAGGGCAAAGCCCTGGACCAACCTCATGCATCCCTGGCTACGCACGGCTCCTTCACTCCTGTCTTCTCCAGGCTCAAGGTCATCTTAATCCCAAGGACATGGGGAGGGGGGATGGAAAATGGTTGCCTGGAAACAGGAGACGCTTGGGCCCCGAGCATTGAAGACTTACCCTGAGCATCTAGGGGAGCCCTGGGCCTTCCCTGGGGGGGCTCCCTCTGGCCTCTAGAGCAAGCAAGGAAGGCGGGGTGGGGGCGGGGGTGTTTCATGTCTCCTGTCTGTGGTTCCTCCCCCCACATCCTAGAACACAGGGGGTTTTACAGGGCTCCCCCCCACATACACACCCTGCAGTAGTCCTTGGGCCTCAGCAGAAGTTCTAAGAGAACCCCAAGTTTTCCCTCAAATCAAAAGAGGGGTTTCCATCACCAAAACGGAGCGAATTGGAGCGATCACATGGGGCTCAAGGTTATGAACACACTTCCTGGAGTCTTCAAGTTCCCAGTGAGTGTGGAAACACACTCAAACCCCATCCAGACACAGTAGGAGGGAGTAATAATAATAATAATCATCAAGAGTCTTAAAGACAAGGAGGGCTGGCTAGCTGGCTGGATCGATCTTGATGGGACATGTCCCTTGGATGGGGCCATCTCTGGGGGTCAGGGTGTTAGGGTGATCCCCTCCTGGAGCCAGGCTCCCAACCCCCATAGCAGGTAAGAAGCATCCCGAGCAGGGAGGCGGTCATGTGACCTCCCCCGCCCCACAAGCCAGAGCACAGACTCAGCAGCACCCCAGCCCCCACCCCTGCCCCCCAGCTCGCCGGTCCTCTCTACAGGCTCTCTTCTCTGCCCGACCAGCTGCACGGGATCTGTCTGTAGATCCAGAGCCAGGGGATCTGTCCACCAAGAACGGGCCTATCTCCACCAGCGGGGAGGCTCGGAGCCCAGCCTGCCCCCTCTCCCTCCCGCCTCCCTCCCCCTTCATCTCCCCCCTTGGCTCTCTGGCTGGCTGCCACAGTGACCTGCCCTCCCCCTCCCCCCAGTGGGGAGGGTGGGGAGCTGGGAGGTGGGGGGGGTGTTGAACAGCATCCCCTGCTGCTCTCTCTGGAGGTGGGGGGGCAGGGCGTGTCATCTAGGCCTTTCTCTCTTCCAGGACCTTTCTGAGCAGTGTCTCCCCAGTCCCCCTGGCCTGGCTGGCTGGGATGGGGGGGGCAGGTGGGATTGGGGAACCCCTCCCTGCCAAGACTCATAGAACCTAGTGCTCTGGACAAGGGCAGGGTGTGGAGGGGTGTTCTAGAACCTTTGGCCCAGTAGGATGTTAAGGGGGGGGGAGCAGGGCTGGCTCTCTGCTCCGCCCTGCGGCCTGCGGTCTCTCCATTTTCAGAATGGACAGGTGTGGGTTGATTTTTCCTATCTCTCCCCCCTCCACACCTCCCCCCCTCATCCACCAGCAGCAGCCATAGGATCTCCGGCCTGCTGTGCATGCCCTTTCACCTGCCTTCCCAGCAAGAAGCCTTCTTCTAGGGTGATGGGATCCCAGGTGTCCCCCGTCTCCCAAGAGGATGAGGGGGTGCAGCCCCCTCTCCCCAACACCGGCATCCAGACAACCCCCCCATGCTGTCTTCCTGCAGCCTATGCCGCAGTGCCAGCCATCCCTGGGGGGCCTTCTGGAGGTCGGGAGCATCCTCCCCCCCAGCCTCCACCCTCGGGGCCCATCCCATGCACCTGCCCCCCCCATACCCCAGACCACCCTCCTCCACCCTTGATCCCAGCATCTCCCCCTCTCCCCACTGGGTCCTCACCCCAGGCCCTCCCCCACCCACCCCCAGCTCAGCCCCACCCCAGCCCTCCCCTGCGGCCCGGTGTGGAAGGGCTTTTTAAATTTTTTTTCCCCTAGACCAGCATGGAGATCGAGGGAGGGGAGGGGAGAGAGGGGGTTTTTCCTCAATGGGGTTCGGATATTGTGGGCCAACCAAGAAGATGGGGGTGGGGGGGGAAGCCTCAGAGCCAAGACTCCCCCGATCATCATCATCATCATGAATAATAATGATAAATCAAAGAGCCAGGTACTTACCGCTCTGTTCCCCCAGGAACACCAACTTGAATTTTCTCAGTGGGTTCCCAAAATCTCCCCCTGCAGACATGGTGCCCGGAGAGGAGGAGGAGGAGGAGGAGGAGGGTGAGGGGAGGAG